GAGAGGACACAGAGACCTACAGAGGTGGCCCTGTGCCAACGGGCAGGGAGTGGGGGACGCAGCACCAGCCGGGCACCTGCAGCCCCAGGAGCATGAAGAGGCAGGAAGGGGCCTCCCCTGGGCCTCTGAGGGGCCCGGCCCTGCCTGCACCCTCATGTCAGGCCTGCACTCCCTGGACTGGGAGAGGCGTGTGTCTGTGTTCGAGCCCCCAGTGTGGGGGACTTTGTCAGGGACCCCAGGACACCCACCCAGAGCTTGGCCGGCCTGGATGGGGCTCTGGGCCGTCAGATGGAGGCCTGGGGGTCAGGCTGTGTGCTGGGCAGGTGGAGCAGGGCGACCACGGGGCAACCAGATGAACTGGGTCTTGGGAGGATGGCAGTGGCTACGGTGCCCCTCCTTCTGGAATGTTTAAGAAAAACCCTCTCCCCACCAAAAAAAACTCTGATTCAATTCCATCCACAACAGTGTAATATGGCTCTTTCAAGCACAGAGAGAAATAAATCAACAATTATTTGTTGAGCACCGACGGGGTGTCAGGAATGGGATTGTGGTGCAGAAAACCAGGTCCTGTGCCTGCGCTCGGGCGGCATCTGGCTCTGCGTGGGGCGGGGGGTCAGCTCTCACAAACACTCCTGTGCCCTTGTGGACACCGGGTGGGGGGCGATGCCACCATGACACATTCCACAGGGAGAGGCGAGGCTGAGCCAGGAAGGCGGGCGAGCCAGACGGCGGGGACAGGCAGGGACGCTCGGCCACCAGCCGGGGGCCCGCAGGATGGGCAGAAAAGGAACTCAGGTCTGCCCGCTGGGTATAGACTGTCTCCTGAGCGAATGAGGGAGCCTCTCTCCCGGGTCCCCTGGCAGGCCAGGGACAGTGTGAGCCACAGACGACTGCATCCAAACGATGCCGAACACCGAGGAAGGGAGGGAGGGAGGGAGGAGGTGGAGAGGGAGGGAAGGGGAAGCCACTTCATTCCTCAGGTGCCTGTGTTCCACCCTGACTGTAACGGAAACAGCAGCCGGGCCTGGAGAGGGGACGGCAGGGCAGGTGCACAGGGAAGGCCGTGACCTCTCGGAGATCTGCGGGGCCAAGAGCAGGGGAGGCACAGCCCAAAAGACCCGGCTCTGCCCACGATGAGCTGTGCAACCTCAGGTGACTTCCTCGGCCTCTCTGAGCCTTGGTTTTCTAAGCATTCTTCCCTGAAAGGCTGCAGACTCCAGGGGGTGATGGACACAGAGAAAGACTGGCTGTGTGTGTGAGGTGCGTGCAGGTGTGACAGAGCACCTCACGGACACGAAGGTGGGAGGGCAGGGGTGGGGCAGGAGGGAAGGAGTAGTGGGGGTGGGAGGGCAGCAGGCGTGTCTCTCCCTCTGGGAAGAGTCAGCTGGTGAAGGCCCTGCAGTGGACGTGACGCTCAGCTGGTCTCAGAAGCAACAGCTCTAGGGGAACAAGATGACCTGTGGGCGGGGGGGAGCAGGCCCCGTGGGCAGACCCTGCTGAGGCCCGCTGAGGAGAAGGGGGCTGGGCCGGGGCCAAGGAGCTGGGGCCCTGGCCGACAGATAGTCCATGCTGGCAGGTGGGCTGTGCCCAGCGTTTTCTCAGGCCACAGCAGCAGCCGCCCTGACACAGTCACAGTGGTGGGACCCCCAGGTGCCCAGACCCTCCTCTCCAATCAGAGGAGCTGAGGTCCCAAGGGGTGGGACAAGCCCCACTGCTTTAGCTTCTTGTCCTCTCACTGCTCGGCCCTGGGCTCTGCAGTCCCAGGAAAAGCACAACAAGCGGCGCAGCTGAAGCCCCGCCTTCTGTCTGAAAGAGTGAAGAGGCCCCTGAAGACCAGAGCGTCCCAGAGATGTCACAAGAGGTAGGAGCGCAGAAGCGGCACCATGCCACTGCTCCTGGTGCCCCGGCTCACACCTGAGCCAAACGTGCGTGGGCCTGATCCTAAACAGCACACCAGGACACCAAGAAGCCCAGTAAGCGTGGACCGCTTCTCAGGTCCTGGACTGGCCACCGGGCGGTGCACACACAGGACACATCACTGCAAAGACCTTGAGGGGGAACTAATGGTAAAACCACGCCCCACAGAAGGCCGGTGGAGACCTGTGAGTTGGACCTACACAAGACTACGAGCCTCATAACATTCACTCTAAATGTCCAGGATATGACCCAGATTTACTTGGCATACCGAGAACCAAGCAAACCTCAAGTTGCATGAGAAAAGACTGCCAACAGACAATGATGCCAGATGACTCGGACGGCAGGATTATCTGTTGAACCCATCCAGAAGGAAGGGGTCAGGTCACAAGACCACCGACTGCCCAGATTCTTGCTGCCCCTTCCACAGCACCAGCTGGCCTGGGAAGGAGGCCCAGCAGGACCCAGTTTCCCAGCCCCTTTTAAAGCAAGTCTAATAAAAATAATCCAAGTACAAAGGTGAACATTATTGAAATGAAAGATAGAAAGCCTCAGCAAAGAAACGTACGATCTCAAGAAGCTAAAGGGAAATCTAGAACTGAAAAATACAGTGACAAAACAAAAAGTTCATTATACAGGCACAATGGCAGAATGGAAGTGACAGAAGAGTGAGTGAACTGGAAGATGGAGCAAGAGAAATTATTCAACTTGAACAAAAGAGATAAACGAGATTAAAAAATGATCACAAAATCCAATAGCCTATCATGATAAAAACACGGCAAACAAGCAACAGGACTTCCTCAACCCGACAAAGGGCACCATCTCCAGAACATCCACACACGCCGTGGAAAAGACTGGCTGCTTTCCCCCAAGACCAGGAGCGAGGTGCAGATGCCTGCTCGCCACACCCCTGCTCACAGTGTCCCGGTTTGAGCCGGGCAATTAGACAAGGGGGAAAAAATGACATCCAGACCATAAAGGAAGAAGGAAAACCACCTCAATTTGCATATGAAATGACCATGTAGAAAACCCTGAGAATCCACAACACACCCTTGGAGCTCATGAAACACACTGCGCAGAGTTGTAGGATACAAGATTGACATACAAAAGCGAGTTGCATTCCTATATACACTAGCCATGGGCAATCCAAGAAAATAATTCCTCAGTAGCATCAAAAAGAATGAAATACTTAAGAATAAATTGAACTAAAGAAGTGCAAGATTTGTACACCACACACCAGTGTTAAAAATATTAAAGAATGCCTAAATAAATGGGAAGACATCCTGTGTTCTGGATTAGAAGGCTTAATATTTTCTTAGGGTGTCAATGCCCCCAAAACTGTAGCTTCAGTGCAACCCTGGTGAAATTTCAAATAGTCTGTTTTGTAGAAATAGATACACTAATCGTAAAATCCGTATGGAATTGAAAGAGAGCCCAAATATACAAAAACAACCTTGAAAAAGAAGAACAAAGATGAAAGATACACACTTCCTGATTTCAAAACTTACCCCCCAGCTAGTCATCAAGAAAGTGTGGTACTGGCATGAGGGCCAACATGTACGGGGACCGATGAGCAGAACCGAGGGTCTGGAAGGAAGCCCATGGAGCTGAGCCCAGCTGATTTTTCTACAAGGGACCAAGACCATTCAAAGGGGAAAGAACAGCCCTTTTAACAAATGGTGGTGGAACAACTGGATGTCCATATGCAAAAAGTAATGAATTTGGACCCCCTACCTCACACCATATATAAAAATTAACTCAAAAATAACTCAAAGGCCTCAATGTAGGAGCTAAAACTGTAAAGCTCTTGGAAGAAAACATAGGTTTAAGATTACGTACCTTAGGCACGAAACCAAAAGCAAAAGCAATAAGAGAAAAAAACAGATACACTGGGCTTTATCGAAATCAAAAGCTGGTGCTGCAAAGGACATTCCCAAGAAAGTGAAGAGACGACACATAGAATGGGATGAAACATTTGTAAATTATATGCCTGATAAGAATCTGGTGTCTACACTATGACAATAAAAAACAAATTTAGAAATGAGGAAAGGATCTGAACAGACATTTCTCCAAAGACATACAAATAGCCGATAAGCACATGAAAAGATGCTCCACACACTAGTCATCAGGGAAACGCAAATCAAAGCCGCCACGAGATACCGCTTCACACCCGCTAGCAAGGCTATGAACAGGAACAGAAGACAACGGGTGTCGGTGGGGCTGTGGGGAGACTCAAACCCTCATGCATTGCAGTGGGATCTACGCGGGGCGGCAGCTATGGGGAACAGTTCCACATTTCCTCAAAAAGTTAAAAATACAGTTACCGTAAGACCCAGAAATTTCACTCCTAGGTATGTAATTTAATTCAACAGACTTGAAAACGTATGTTCACACAAGAACTCTCACACAAATGTTCTTAGTGGCATTATTTACAATAGCCAAACCGTGGGAGCAACCCAAATGTCTGTCAACTAATGAATGGATTTTAACCAGTGGTCTTGCCAAAAAATGGAATCTTATTCAGCCATTAAAAGGAACAATACACTGATGCATTGGGACAACACGGACACATCTCTGAAAACGTGATGCTGAATGAAAGAAGCCAGATGCATAGGCCAAATACTGTACGATCTCCCTCGTGTGAAATGTCCATAGTAAGCAAATCTATAGAGAGAGAAAGCCAATTCAGGGTCACCTAATCTGGGAGGGGGGAATTGGGGGTGACTGCTTAACAGGTACTGTGTGTCCTTTAGGGTGACAGAAATGTTCTGGAATTAGATCATGGGGGTGGACGCACAGCATTGTAAGAATGCTGATACCCACTGAATTGTAGCCTTTATTATGGCAACTCTTGTTTCAATAATTAAAAAGTGTAATTAAAGAAAAGGAAAAAATGAACAGCTTTATAGACCTGTGGGGAGACTAAAGGGCCTGACATTTATGTCACTGGAGTGCTAGGAGGAGGAGGGCAGTGAGGAAAATATCTGAAGAAATAATGGTCAAAATTTTCCCTAATTTGGCAAAAGACCTTAGCTGGAAACAACCCAATTGTCCTCCTCCAAATGGGCCAGAAAATTGTCCCCCAGTGAGACAGTGGATAACTGAACGAGGCCGTGTGCATGGGAGGGACGGCTGCCCAGCAATAAAGGGCAGTGGCATGGACGGGCCGGGTGTGCACTGCGGGGAACGCGCTCTCTGGAGCTCAGTCTTCCAGGGTGGCTTCCACAGTGAGTGCGTCAAGTCTCGCCAGCCTGTTCCGGTGCCTGCCCACCTGCAGGACGTCCCAAAGCAGGAGCTGTGGGGGAAGGCCCGGAACCTGCCTGGGGTTCTCCGGGCCCGGCTTGGTCTGACCCTGACTGCGGCGCTCCTGGGCAGACCTCCGTACGTGGGAAACCCACCGCAGTGAACACCCAAAGGGGCAAGAGGCCTGCATGATTGTTTAAAAAATAACTTTAAAAAGCTGGGTTCCGAGGAAACAAGTCCTAGAGATGCAAGCTGAGGAAAGGGGGAGACTCGCTGTCAGTGTTTCATAAGAACATTCACACGTATGCGGGTTTCACAAAGCCGAGCTACACCTGCTGCTCCTGGGCCCTTCACATCCACTGGGTCAGGGGTGAGCACACGTCAGCTGCCAGACGGGGGACACCTGTGGATAAAACGGAAGTTCCTGTGGGCAGGATTCCCACCTGGCCCTGGTCGGCTGGTTCACTGCACACGTGTGGGCAATACGTTGTTAGTGACTCCATATAAAGAGCCCTGCCCAGTGCTCTGGGCCACACAGGGGCATGGCTGCAGGAGAGCAGAGCAGAGGCCCAGAGGACAGCTGTGCGGACAGAGGGGCCCAGAGGCAGAGACCGGCTTGCTGCCTGCAGACTCGCTCTGAGTGGACGGGATTCTAGTGACTGACCTGCCACCATGGGAATAAAGTTGGGTATAACCCTTTCACCCCAAGAACATTCTACTGTCATTCCTTTGGTCACACTGAATCCGTAACGAACTTGCCCGGGGCTGAAGCTCATTGGCAAGACAGCACCCTGACCCGGAGACCTGGCAGGGCTGGAGGGCCTTGCCCCTGTGGGGGGAGGAGGTGCTGGGAGGGAGCGTTTGACCCCGGGGCACTGGGGCCTCCCCAGACACATGAGGCTGCACACGCACCACAGACCCTTCCCGCGCCTCAGTTTTCTTGGCTCTAAGGCTGTAAACTGAGTGGGAAGATACAGAAATTGGAGGTGCAAGTTTCCAGCACCCAGGGAATGAGCCCACCATGCCCCGTCGCCTGTCCCCACTTTCCCCAGCATGCCCTGTGCCCTCAGCCCTGCAGGTGGCTCATGGGACGCCACTCCCAGCACGTGAGTCAGTGCCCTTCAGCATGTCTGCAGAAAGACGGTGACCTGGCCCAGAGCTAAAGGCTGTGTCGTAGTTCATTGGCGGTCTCTCTCTCTTCGTGGCGTGAAAGTGAGGAGGCATCTGCAGCAGGCGGGTCTGAGATGCGGTGGACGTGCTGCTCCGTTATTCATGCCGCAGACACAGGCATGGATACCACCTATGATGCCGTGCCCGGGGCCGCCGTGCAGAGGGTCCTGGAGCAGGGCTGAGTGGGGGGCCGGCTGGGGGCTGCCCCAAGTGTCTTCAGCTTTAAGCCTGAGCTCCAGTCTTGCAGGCGGCCCAGCCCCATCCAAGCCCCTCCTCCATTGCTGACCTCGCAGCCCCAGAGCTCGGCCTCGCCTGTGGAATGAACCTAGAAAGGCTGATCTCCAGGCCTCCCTGGCCCTCGCATCCTGGGAACACAAACCTTCCTTCCTCTGAAACTTGGAATACTTGAGATTCCCCTGGAGGCCTCCTCGAACTTTTCCAGAAGTATTTCCTGGTCAGCAAATTCTTCAGCCTCCTTTGGAATGCATCTTCCTTCTGTCCTTTCTCTGCTGCCCTTGGCGTCTGCGGCCCAGAAACTTCTCTGGCTTGCAGGGAGGCCTGCGTCCTTTTGAGCTGGCTTCCCTGTAGGACCTCAGCGCAGGCTGTGAGTCTTCAACCTCCATCCATCCCAGAGGCCTCCAGGGAGACTGATTCTGAGGCTTGTGCCGCCTCTGGAAACACCTCCCTGAGGAAGCCCTCCTGACTGCCACCCACCCTAGGCAGGGTTCCGTCTGTCAGCACTTATCAAGCTGTCTGTGGGGAGGAACCAACCCATCCCAGGTAGAAACATGGTCCCACTGTGCATGACGATGACACGCTTGGGTGAGACTTCAAGGTCAAGATGCTGTAAGTCCGTCCACATGTGCTCTCAATTCTGTACTTGCCGTGGACCCATAGCAGACATTTCTTGGCCACGTGTGTATCCTGGGATGTGACCTCTTGGCAATGGTGCAAGCAGGACCCCAGGTCTCATGCAGGCCCGTCACCTGGCGCCCAGGAGAGGGCCTCCTGGCAGAGGGATCAGTGGTCAGCTAGGGAGGAAATGGCTCTCCTGCTCACTGGCCAGAAGAGCACGGTGGCCTCTGCCCTCCAGGGGTTGTGGGCAAACATCCCTGACTTCTTCTTCACTGCTGACTAGGGCATTATAAGCATCGCTTTCCTTGTCTGCTTCCCCCACAGAACAAGTGCCCCCTGTGGGTAGGAACTGAGTCTGTCCCAAGGGGCTGCCTGTGTCTGCAGAACAGAATGCCACCTCACAGCCCTGGGATGAGGAGAGGGCATGGCCTGGGCCATCTTGATGGGAGGGTAACTGTTAAAAGGCAGAGCAGCCAGGGCTTAGCAGGGACACGGTCTCAGTCCACGTGGCCCCTGCGTGCCTTCCAGGGCGTTGCTTCTCACAGTGGAAAACCAGCCCTGGCAACCTCCCCCTGCTGGCGGCACAGCTGACCAGCTCTGGAAGGGCTGCTCCAAGGCTGTCTGTCCTCACCACCCAGCCTGTCCAGAACGGAGCCAGGGACTGTCACACCCACCTCCCCTCTGCCAGGCCCGGCTCTTTGTGTCAAAGGCAGGGCAGTGCATGGCACAGGGCCCAGGCTTTGCAGGAAAACCGTCCTTTCATTCACTCACACATTCACCTCTTTGTGCCTCAATTTCCCTGTCTGCAAAATGAGGACAATACCAGCACTCACCCCATAGGATGCCATGTGGATCACCTCTGAGAAAAAGGAATTCTTCACTTACCATATTCTTTGGTGCTGCCCAAGACTGGGGCCAAGCGCAGGCCAAGAAATCAGGCAGAACGGAGTGGAAATCAAGTACAGCTGTATTACTTAAAAGAAAAACAAAAGACTGGATTCACAAGAACACAGTTGGGATTTGCAGCAATAATGCCTTCTTAATGGCAGCCACCAGGCTGGCCACCATTCAGCAGGAGCGGCACTGACCCCTACAGGCCTCCCCAAGGGGCTGTCCTGAGACCTACCGCCTGGAGGAGGTGCCCACCGTGCTGCACACTGGGAGCGGGCAGAGGGCGGGGAAGCTCTGTGGGAGCACAGCATGCCCCCCGGGGGAAGGACACCCTCCTTCTGTGAGGGGTGGGGGATGGGGACCCAGGAGGGTCAGGGAAAATCCCTTTAAAGACACTAGGCTAGGGGAGAATCATCCATCCAAACAGGGCTGGTGCACGTGTTTACACACACAAAGTGCTCAGACAGCGCCAGGGTGAAGGAAGTGCACAGGAACCACGGCTAATAGGATTCTTACTGTCATCAGGCCCTGCAATGTGCCAGGCACAGGGCTAGAAGCTGAGGACGCAGGGCAAGCAGAGTGGACATGGTCCTGCCCAGTGAGCCTCCCACTGGCCCTCACCACCATGGGGGGCTGGTCAGCGAGGGCCTCCCTGCACCTCAGATCCCCCCAGGACCAGATCAAGGATGCGCGAGGTGACATGTGATGCATGTCCTCCCAGGCGTGGTAGTACGGCAGCCTTGCTCTTTCTCAACTTGTTTCGGTCACTCTATGTCCTTTGCACAGCCACACGAATTCTAGTTTGTTGATTTCCACAAAAGAGTCCCCCGAGAACTCACCTGGGATTACGTTGAATCTACAGGTGAATCTGGAGAGAAGAGGCATCTTATTCTTTCAACCACCTCTAAGTCTTTAGTTTCTTTTGGCAATTCACTGCATTGGTCTTACATGTCTCTCATAAATTTATTCCTGAGTGTTTCATACTTTTTGATGTTATTATAAATGGTCATTTTAAATTTCAACTTCCTGTTTCCAGTATATTAAAGATTTATTTTTATATGTTGGTCTTGTATCCTGCAACCTTGCTAAACTCAGTTATTAGTTCTAGCAGTTTTGTAGATTCCATCAGATTTTCTACTTACATGACCATGTTCATGTGAATAAAGAGTTTTACTTCTTCATTTCCAATATGCATGTTTTGTATGTCTTTTTATTTCTGTATTGCCCTGGCCAGAACCTCTAATACAGGCTGACCAGAGGCGGGCGGCATACACCCCTGCTCTGCTCCTGTTTTGGTGGTAGTCAGTCTTTCTCCACTAAGTATGACATAAACAATAGCTGTTTTGTATCTGTCCTTGATCAGGTTCCCTTCTATTCCTGGTGTGCTGAGAATTTTTATCAAAAATATATGTTGGATTTTGTCAAAGCTTTTTTTTTTTTGCTTCTATTGAGATAATCATGTGGTTTTTCATTTTTATTTTGTTAATGTGATAACTTCTAATCTTCATAATGTTGACTGCTTTTTAAATGTTAAACCAACCTTGCATTCCTGGGATAAATCTGCCTTGGTCATAATATATTATCCCGTTTATTACTGGATTCAATTTGCAAAATTTTATTTAAAATTTTTGTATTTATATTCATGAGAGATTATAGTTTCCTTGTAATGTCTTTGTCTGGTTTGGGTATCAGGGTAATGCTGGCCTCACAGAATAAGGTGAGAAATATTCCTTCCTCTTCTATTTTCCAAAAGAATTTAGGTAGAATTTGTGTTATTTCCTCCTTAGACTTTGGCAGAATTTGCCAGTGAAAACACCTGGGCCTGAATCTCCTTTGTGGGGAGTTTTAACCACTAATTCGGTTTCTCTAGTAGAAATAGGGTTATTTGGGTTGTCACCTTTTTCTTATTGAAGGGGCTTTGACTTTTTCGTGTCTTTCAAATAATTTGCCCATTTATAGCTACGTTGCTGAATTTATTGGCATGAAGTTGTTCCTACTAGTCCCTATTTTCCTCTTAATATCTGTGAACTCTGTAGCAGAATCATCTCTCATTCCTGATGTCGGTGATATCGGCAGGCTTTGCCCCAACAGCATCTCCTGCAAAAAGGTAGTAACCTTTGGACCAGACACCCCGCATCGGCTTTCCAGTAGTTCACCAGCTCCCTGGAGTCTCCCGACATTTCCTCCCTTCCTCCCTTCCCCCTGCATCCCATTAGCCCCTAGGATGGCACAGCACGCAGGGTCGGGCATGGGTGCCCACAACAGGAAGCGGAATAAAAGCGGCGGAAGCAGATCAGCAATTTACTCTCACGTAAAAGAAGACAGTCAGGGGGGTGGCCTCACCACAGGTCGCATGGACCCCAGATCCTCCTCTCTCCCTGCTTCAACGCACTTGGTGTGTGGTGTCTATCCTCAAGTCACAGTCTGGCTGCTGGAGCTCCGACTTGCACATCTTCATTCCAGCCAAGAAGAAGGGAAGGTTAGGAGTCGGAAAGCACCTGCCGTCCACCCCCCTTTAGGAACATTCCCAAGGCCCCACTCCGGTACTTCCCCTGGTGCCTCCCGGGCCCCATACCTGCAGCTCCAACTTCTCCAGCTCTTTCCTTCAGCCTGTTTCCTGGGGTCTCACCAAGCCCACCCCTTCCCTAGCATAACTCCACACCAGACTTCTGCGCCCCATCTCCTTCCCAGCAGAGGAAGCTGGGCTCCTGCCTTAACCAAGGCTCGGGGATGGCTCATTCCCCATCGTCCTATGAACAGGGAGACTGAGACCCAAGAAAAGGGGCTCACCCAGGGTCCTGCAGAAAGTCAGTGACCCACTGAGGTGGCACTGCCAACCACTAATTGTCCCATCTGGATGTCTGAATACTACGTTCAGAGAAGCTGACTGTCTGATCCAGGACCACCCAGCAGGCAGCTGACTGGGTCATTCATGGCCCGTGTGCCAGCTGTCCTGAGCCCTCCAGAAAGTGTCATCCCCCTTATCACCAGCTGTCTCTCATTCACCCCAACACAGACCAGACACGGGGGTTCAGCAAAGGTCCCTTTTGTCTTTCTGGATGAAAAGCTCTTCCTCCCAGCGCTTCAGCCTCTGCATGTGCTCACTCACCTTCCCCGCCCAGCCACCTGCGCGGGAGCCTCTCCTCCTGCAGAGAGAACTGAGCTGCCTGAAGGCCCGTCAGATCCCAGCCCTCGCCCTGCAGGCCTGGCACTTTCGCCATCCCCCTCCTGGACAGGGAGGACCCTGGACAGCCCCCCACCAGCTGCCCTAACACCCAAATGAAGCCAGCAGGCAGATCGGGGCCTTCTGTGGGTGCCTGCGTACAGAAAGGGTACTCTCGGGGCAGAGGCATTCCCGAATGCCACTCAGTTCTTGGAAGTCACTTTCTCCTCCTCTGTCCAAGGAGGGGAAGGCGGCTCCCTAGGCCCCGCCTCCCTCACATCCTGCCAGAGGCTGTGCCTGTGGAAACCCCGGGTCAGGCCGTCTCCCGGCCGTGGGCCTGCTGCTGACGTGGCCTCGGGCCTGGGCCACCTCGGGGAGGATGTGCGGAGCCTCCTCAGAGCCCATGCCCGCAGAAGCCTTTGTGCCAAACTGCCCAGGCCCCACGCAGGCCAGAGGGACTGGTCTCCAGCGGGCATGTCTTCGGCAGCTCTCTGGGCAAGGGGGCTGGAGAGGGAACAGAGGGGACCTCTTGGCAGGTGGCTGGTCACCTCACTGCTGTCATTCAGCCCTGGGGGCACACAGGCAGCCCCAGCAGCCCTGCCATACCCCGACTCCTCCCCTGCAAGGCCGGGAGGGGCCACCCTGGGCACCCACCCCCTGCAGGGCAGGACAGGTCCCACCCAGGTCACTCAGAGGTCCGGGCAGGGCCTGTGCTGTCCACTGTCGCCCCTCCCTCCCCAGCCTTGGCCTCCTGGGACTGAAGACAGACTCCAGAGGGGCACAACCCCAGCAGACCGTCAACATCAGGAGCGCCGGAGCAGGAAGGACCCTCGAGGCACCTGGCGTTTGTGCTCCTCAGGTGGCGGCCGCAGCAGGTTGGCGACAGGGCTGGGACTCCTGTTGGGGTTCTCCTCAGTTGGGGTTCCCAAGTTAAGAAGGCCTAGCCCTCTTCGGACCATGTGGAATGTCGCTGGAGCAGCCAGCTTGAGTTCCTTCCCTCGCGCTGTCCTGTCTTTCGGGTCCTTCACCTTCTGAAGAAGTTCCATTCTTTACAACTTTGGCAGGAGGGGTGAGGAGAGAAATGGAGGGTGGGCGGTAAGGGGGCCCAGGGCTCTGCTTCTCACCTCTCTCATTGCCCAGGGTGGCCCTACAGCACCACCAGCAAATTGAGGGGGTTGATGGCTCCTGGGGGTCAGGGTTTGAAGAGACTGTCAGCTGCATGGGGGACTCACCACACCCCTCCAGGTTCGTGACGCCCGCCCTGCTTTGGTGTAACGTGTCACCATCTACAGTGTGGGGATCTTGCGTGCTGACCACACCATGCTCAGGCCCTCGCTGCTGACCGCCCATTAGAGGCTCTGGGTGGGCTGGTCCGTGGGCTTGTGTGCATGCCACGGCAGGGCAGGCACTGTGCTGCCCTGCAACGTGGTGCCAACCAGTCGGGGCAAAGTGCCTGACAGTTCCCACCCCGACCTGTGCGGGCCGGCACTCTGGCCGCTGCAGAGCCCTCAGAGCGTCTGTCTGATGCGTTTTAGGCCCTTGGGCGGGTGTGAAATGCGACGGCAGCACAGCTCGGTCTGCATTTCCCTGAGGACTGACGCGGTCCGGTGCCTTCCGCTGTGTGGGCGTTTGAATTCTCTGAGTCTTCCAGTGTAGGATTTGACGGGCTCCCCACTGTCCCCTCTGGCTTGTCCTGGTACCAACACCTCACTCCTCAATGATGCCACTTGCTAACAGGCATTAACTGTGAGCCGTGAGACCCTCCAGCTTAGCCCTACGTGCCCAAGGTTGCCCTGACCGTTCTTGTTTCTCTTCATTCCATGTGCCTTTGAAACCAGCCTGTCGATTTTCCCCAGAAAGAAACCCAGGGTTTGTTGGCAGTCAGTACCTCTCAGCACTTTACAAAGGCCATTCCCCTGTTTCCTGATTCCAGGACACCTTGGAAACCCAGCCAGGCTCAGAGAGGTCACCTCAGGCCGGCTGCTCAAATGCAGCGGGGCCAACCCACATCAGGGAGGGGACACGGGGCCCCAGGTTTGGGTTCTGGTTTCCCCAGCAGGCCAATCTCAGCCCCCAGGGAGAGACCCCCAGGGAGAAGACAGCCCAGGGACCCCCCACTGAGGGGAGCTGTCCCATGACAGAGCTGCGGGCAGGGGTCAGATTCCTGGTGTGAATGGCCAGCCTGGGGGGGTGCGATCTGGGGGAGGAGGCCGCTCTCGTCTCATCAGCTCTGTCTGGCTGGGGTCTGATCCTAGCGCACTTGGAAAACGGAGATCGCTCATCGCTGCCCTCAATCTCAGTGCCCAGCTCTTAAATTCCCTTTAAAAGGAAAGAAAGGAAGAGCTTTGGGAGTGAACTTTTTACATCCTTCCAAGGGGATGTTCAGAAAGGAGCAGGTGGGGGTCTGTGCTTCCTGCAGAAACTGACCATCTAAGTGTGATGGGTCACGTGGAGGGGAGGGCAGTGCCACTATCTGTCACCCAGGCCCCTATATGCGCCTGCAGCACCGAGCCGAGTTCCGTGGTAGAAGGAACGGTGCCAGAGAGATGCCTGCCACCTCGAGACCACAGCAGCCCCTGACATGAGTCTGTGGGAACCAGGGTGTCCCTAGGTCAGCGTCCAGAGGGGGCAATTGAATCCTGCTCAGGTGGGCAGTCAGAGGGTAAAGGTTCCTAGAGGTGGATGCCAGCCGAGCTTGGGCAGGGAGGCAGGGGGGGCAGTACACGTTTCAGGAGGAGGCAGCAGCATGTGCAGAGGTGGGTGCGGGAGCCACAGTGCCCGCTGAGGATTTCTGGTGCCCAGGGTGTGGGTGAGGGGCTGAAATGAGGCCTGTGCAAGGAGCTCTGGCCGGGCAGGAGTGGTGGAAGCCCCCGAGGGCGTGGACAGGCCTCAGCACCCTCGTGTCCACCCTCTCCTGGCACCACCAAGTCCACCGCTGCATCTCCTCTCAGGAGAGGGACGGGCAGGGGGCAGCGACCCCCGGGAGAGCCTGTCCCTCCGTCCAAGACACCGGGAGCCCGGCGCTGCTTTGTGTCAGCTCCACCAGGCTGAGAGGCACCTCTGAGGCCCTTCCCCACAGAGGGTCCTCTTGGGCACCCCAGGGGGTAGGAGGGGGGCAGTGGCCGCAGTGAGGCCCACCTGCTGGGTGGGCAGCCGCTACCCTAACTGCAGGCCCTCTCCCCTGGGCCTGTGCTCCCCCTGCTCCTGGGCCAGGTGACAGGGGCTCGTGCAGGACCCTCTTCCCACCAAGGGCGGAGGCAGTGGGGCAGGAGCCACCCTCCTGGGGCACCAGCTCCTGCAGCGGCTTCTGGTCATTCCTGTCCCCACCGCACACCCGCCGGCCCTTCCCACTGCTGCCCCCGGCCTCGAGCTCCAGCATCAGACGACGACAGCTGGCAACCTGCTCACTGTGGCACGGGCCCAACTCCTGCCCACCGTCCCCTCTATAAACAGACAGACACAGTGTAAGCCTGCACTCAAATATGTAAGTGCATATGCAATGCATGTGTATGTACATGCATCTATAAAGGAATTTGTAAACATAGACATGTGATAACTGATATATGCCTGTGTGTATACTTAAATATATTTAATAATACAGGCATTAACAACTTTTATAATATAAATATTAAAAATTAAAGTATATTCATTTTCTATTTATAAAGGATTATATAATCTTTTATATAGTGCACACATGCACACACACAGCCACTGGGAGGCGGCTACATATATGGGCCACAGAGTGGCTGTGCTGGACCAGTGGTTTGGCTTCCCTGAGCGCACCTGACCAGGGGCTCCCATATGAGTGTTTTTCATTTCTTTACCTATAAAATAAAAAATAACAGTAGATGGATGCCAAACCTGCTGTAATTCAAGCAGTAGGCAGCATGCAGCCATATACAAAACTAGGTAAAAACGGCCCCGCCCAACATACTGTTTGCAGTAAAATGTATTTCATGTGCCATATTCATTTCCCATGTGCTTATGTTGTTTTGATAGATTGCATTCTAGTAACAAATGTAAGGATCACTAAATGCAGAAGAAAATTTAAAGTCTTGGCACATCATAATGACCCCAGAAATTTTCTTTTTAAACTATTTCAGTTTATATGTTTATAACAGACTGGGTTGGGGCAGAGGGGGGAGTTAAAAAAATGTGAAGCATAAGAAATGCACATTTTCCAACTCGGCAAATGGAATGTTGATGCCATCTGATTTGCTGCCTACCATCTTAGGGGATAAAACTTTCTGCTTTTTTTAAAGTGCTGACATTTTTTTAACTGATCTATCACCTTCTGTGACCCTGTAGACTTAGGATGCAAAGTTTAGAGATCACCTTTAAGATGTGTAGGAAGCGTGTTTTTTTTCAACAGTCATTGGGGAACAGGTAAGAGAAAGAATTTGGGGACCCCTTCCCTGACTGAACCCTCCTCACATAGTCCAAGACAAGGTCTCCACCCTGGTCTCCACCCCACGCCCTCGTCACGG